TTTGTTGCTGACTTCCTCCACTTCCCCCCGTTATTGTAATATCTGTTTCTTATGGGATAACATTCTGTCTTCTCCATATCACTATAAAATACTTATATAGATATAAAGATGTATATCTATATGCACTCTATATCTTTTCTCCATCATTTTAGTTTTTCAATGTTTTCTGGCCTTCTGGAAAAATCATTTTTGTGTCTGTATCTCCTACTACATTATGAGCCCATTGAAGCTTATTTTGTATTTCCTAGTCCAGTATCTAGAACATCGTATGTGCTCAGTAAATATTTTTTTGAATGAATAAATGTAGGCTAACTTTGTACTTTGTAGTTGCCCTCAGTGATTTTCTGTAGTATCATTTCTGCTCTATGCAGATTTGGATTACCATGTTGCACTTGGGGCATGTGTGTATGCACATATATGTATATGTATGTTTTTGGTCATTTATCTTGGCCAGCTCTCTTTTTATCTAAATCCTTTCTCTCTCTCTCTCTCTCTTTAATTATGTCTGTTTTAGTTTCATAGAGAATTAATTTTGCACAAAACCTTTCCTGTAAGTTTGCAGGGCATTTCCCTCTTTTTCTTATGTTGTTTTAAAAAAAAAAAAGGAAAGAAAGAAAAAAGAACCTGCTATTTGTTGCTTATCCGTTTACTTGCTCTTGAAAACGGAAAAGTGCAACAGGGCCAGTGTCGGTCCACTAACATTTGTGTGCTGTTTGGCCCGCTGTCAGGATAACACTGAGGGCAAGTGGATGTATGTGGCCTCAACACAGTTTTCAGTGCCTTGCAGGCATTCATCTAGTGTCAGTCTGTTGGGCTAACATGGCGTCTTCTTCTGTCCCTCCTGCCTCCTTTCCTAAGATATAATGTATGTTCTTAAAACTCTGAGGAAGACTTTATGGAAAAATTACTACCACCATTATATACCCAGAAGGACCATTTTCAGGACTCTCCATTCCTTTTGTCTCCTCCTTAAGCACTTTATCTTTGGCCGTGATGTATACTAGGAGTTAAAGACGCAGAATGGATATGGAATAGTGATGAATAACCTAGAGCCTATAGTAAATGGCCTATCTAATTTCAATATATGATGCTCTATATTACTTTAAGAACCCCTTCATTTTATAGATGGAACAAATGACACGCATACAGGGCAATAACTACTTTTGAATCACACAGTGGATCAGTTATCAGTCAAGCCTAAATGGAGGTTTAAGTATCTTATGTTTGTGTAGTAGCACAGTCATCCTGAAAATAAGAAGCGTAGCACTAAGTTGGTGGGTGATGGGGAAGGTGTTCAGGATGGGAGTGGAGTGGGGGCTAGCCATGGTCTGAGGAGAACTGGGGCAGGCAGGAGAATTCTTCCTTAATTTGCAGGGGATCTGGGGCTGGACCTGCCTAGTTTGAGAGTGTGAATTTTGATTTCCCTCAAAAGATGGGTCCCAAAGTTGAAGAATAATGATCTTAAGAAATTTTAAATCATTATTAAATGAATTTTATATTAGTTATTACAGTAAATAGTACATTTAAAATATAAAAACAATTCAAAAAAGAATACTGTATTAAGAGGCACTATACTGTGTTATTTCTCCCTGTATAAAACCCCCTTGCCCCTAAAACATTTGCTTTTTCCCCTTAACAGTAAGCCTCAAAGAGTGGAAATTATGCTTTTCTTGTTTATTCTCTATCCCTAGTACTTAGCAAGGTGCCTATGTTTAGTAATTACTCAGAGTATTTATTTATTTATTAAAAGATGACCAGTAAGGGGATCTTAACCCCTGACTTGGTGTTGTCAGCACCACGCTCTCCCAAGTGAGCTATCTGCCCATCCCTATATGGGATCCGAGCCCGTGGCCTTGGTGCTATCAGCACCACACTCTCCCAAGTGAGCCACGGACCAGCCCTCATAGTATTTATTAAATGAATTTAAATCAATAAATGAATGAACCAATAAGCAAATGAAAAGTTGGGAGATAGTGAATCAGGAAATGCTGGCTAACTACCATATTGATATGGAAGTTCTGAAAACGTTTGTAATTTCAGCAAATTAACATTAGAATTAGCTTGATAGGATGAGAACCAAGTAGAGCAATAGGTGATGGACAGAAACCATATCATATCATATACTTATGATACCATATCATATATATATGATACCATATCATAATTTGTACTGTTGTGATGTCAAGGAGTATTAGTTGAAATTTCCCTCAGTGTGGTGGGACTACATGGAGAAAAGGAGAGATTACATGGTTGCACTTGGCTTCTTTTTTAAATTCTGTTTTAATGCTAAATATTTGTACATTGAGTACTAACAGAGAATAGATTTATACTTAAAAAAATAATGAAAAAAAAAAAGTGTAATTGACTCAAGGAGCCAGAAATGTCCAGGACACTTAAAACAGAATCATAGCTCAACTATTTCCCCTTTCTCATTAATGAAATAATTCATTAACTCTGCCATAGAAGTTTTCATAATAATAGCAGCTAAAGATTATAGAATACTTGTACAAGGCCCTGTGCACAGTGCTTTCCATTTACAGATAGAACACAGAATCTTAGAGAGGTCACATAATGTGCACAGGATGACCCACGTAGTAAGCAGCAGATGGCTAGATCTGCCCAACTATCCAATGGCTGTTTCAGCACCCTCCCCACCCCCACACTACATAAACTTTTAAATACATTCTACCTTTGTTAATGTTTATATCTGCTTATTAAAGAAAAGATTATTAAAGGAAAACCTAGTATATCATTATAATTTTTTTTTTTTTTTTTTTGGTCTTTTGTCTTTTTCCGTGTCCGGCAACGGATTGCAACCCTCAGTGTTGCCCCCGTACCGGACCGGGGACCAGCAACGGGATTGCAACCCTCGGCGTTGCTCCCGCGCCTCGCTCAGCCAGTGAGCGGGATCCGGTCTGTATGTGGGATCCGAACCTTCCAGCGGGAGCGCCGCAGCGCTTCCCGAGCGGCGCACTATCCAGTGCGCCACTGGGCCGGCCCATTATAATTTTATTTTTGTGTTTTATAGAAGCAAAAAGCTGTCTTCCCAAGCTGTCTCTCTTTTTTTGCACAATACACCATGCACTATGAATCACAGTGTAATGATCTTCACATATTTTATCTTTGAATGCTCTAACAGCTTTTGGTGTTAGCTTTAGAGGCTGATTGGCATGCCTTACTGTGTATTCAAACTTTTCCTTGGACTGAGAGCAAACAAGTTCCTTTAACACATACGCTCCCCAATTGGGGAGTTGGGGCATAGCCCCAGGATCCCTACTGAAACAGGAAATGTTTTTTAAGTTTTCTTTCTTATCATCAAAATTTACACCAACATTTTTGGTTTCTACTTCATAACACGTATGTCGTATCCCATTGGAATTCTTGATCACAAACCACAAATATGGATTTTGTTACTTAAAAGGAATTGATTGGATGGATATAAGGTAGTTCACAGATCTGGCAGAAATCCTGAGGAACCAGATTTGAGAAACAGACAGGAGTATAGGGAGATGATGGATTTGGAACCATAGCCTAGGCTATACCATGGGAATAGCTAGTTAGGGTGCTGCTATCAACTGGTGTATTCATTTGTGTATAATAATCTTTCTTCATTGATTAATTGCAATATTGTTAATGAAAATATTGAGGAAAAGTGAAAGTAACCCAAATTCCATCAATAGGGTAATGATAAAATAAATTATGATGTATTTTTACATAATGGCATACTATATAGTTGACCATTGAACAGGTGGTTAGGGGTACTGACTCCCCTCAGCAATAAAAAATTTGCATATAACTTTTGACTCCTAGTCTGCTGTTGACCAGAAACCTAACCAATAACATCAGCAGTTGATTAACACATATTATGTATGTTATATGTATCATATACTATATTCTTACAATAAAGTAAGCTCGAGAAACAAAAATGTTATTAAGAAAATCATAAGGAAGAGAAAATACATTTTAAAAACATTTAAATACATCAGGAAAAAAATCTGTATGTAAGTAGACCATGCATTTCAAACCCGTGTTGTTCCAGGCTCAATTGTATTGTTATAAAAAATATCGTAGTAGATCTAAACATACACTCATGGAATGGTATTCAAAATGTAAAATTGGAAAAAAGTTGTGAAATACTTTGTTTAGTGTTATTCTATTTTTGTTTAAAATATATTTGAAGGGAATATGTATACCAAACATAATATTTGTCATCTCTGGGCGCTTGGATCATGGGAACCTTTGATTTAATGCATCATATTTCTGTAAAATATTTTTGTCAATAAATGTGAACTAACGAATATGGCTTTACTAGCTGGAGCCTTCAATTGCAAGATTTTTTCCCTAATACTTACATTACAGCAGATGACAGCCATATTTGGCTTTTTCTCCTCTGTGTAAATAGGTGTTCTCAACAGCTTATATTGATACCTATTCTTCACTCTCCTCACCCTCTACCATGGCAGTGAGGATATAAGACACATTGTCATCAGTGAATACAGCCAAATGAATATTTGAAGAGAAAATAAAGAATTCTTAGTAATTTTACATTACAATTTTATGATTGCCATGAGTAGTTAGTGGTATGCCTTTACATATTGCTTTACGACAGTATATACATCTTAATCCCACTTTTGTTTTACTTGCTTTAGTTAATCATTTATTTTATTATCACTCTCTTTAGTGACAATATCTAGTTTTAAATATCAGCTTATTTTCTAAAAGTATTCCTTTTCCCATTCTTGCATAATCATTGTATTTCTATTGTGGGAAAAATTTTAAACTTTGAGTAAAAACTTTCAGGTAAAGCTTTTAAAATATCCTACTCAAAAAACTTTATAGTATTAAATTTGGCATATAACTTGAAAGTCATCTTAGTTTGATTATATTTAATGTTTCAAATTACTGAACTGATGTTATTGAAAACTTATAAGACATTTTGGTATGACAATTTAAACACATTGAGTTAAAGTTATGATTTTTAGTTGCTTGTTTGTTTTTAGGATTCCATATTGGAAGAAGAAATTTCTATACATGAAAAAAATGCCTCTGTTTAGTAAATCACAGAAAAATCCAGCAGAAATTGTGAAAATTCTGAAAGACAACATGGCCATTTTGGAAAAGCAAGATAAAAAGACAGACAAGGTATGAGCTAAAACAATAACATTATTATTAAAATACATGCATTCCAAGGCCAAAAACCAATGTAAAAGCTTAATGAAGAATCCCAGGTATGGTCTCTATAAATACGTTTTAGTTGATTTTAGGTTTTATGCAACTGATAATTGTTTAGTCTATTGTCTTGAACTTTTGATTCACTGTCTAGAGCTTACCAACCCTGGATCCATCTAGACTACAGAACTTAAAGATCTAAGAGTTTGCACTGGTGTATAATGTTACACTGACGTAAGGGTAAAAAGTGTTTATTTAAAGATTGACTGTTAGTTTCTGTCACAGTGCAACCTCATTTTTTCATTGTGTTAAGGTCTTAGAAACCAGGGCTTCCTCACAGGTAAGGTCTTTTAGTATTTTAGTTAATCGCTCAAAGGGATGTTGAGTCCTACATATTCCATTTCTCTTTAAAGTGACTAGTTTAGGGCAAGACTCAACATATCTATAAAAGAAATACCCTTGAGTTCATAGTACCTTTGTATCCCTGTATGTGATATAATCTAGGTTTCTATAAGGGATTTAGAAATATCTTATTTTAATTCTAGTGTACTTTGTAATAGTGAGCCAAATATTATTGGCCCAAATAGAAATAAAAAATGACCTTCATAAAAATGTAAATCTAAATAGCATGAGACAAAAAAAAAAAAAACTTTTACTTATTTTTATTAGTAATCAAGAAAAGGCCAATTAAAACCACAATGAATTTATATTACACACCTAATACCTTGGCAAAAATGAAAAGTCCAATGATATTAAGTGCTGATAAGGATGGAGAACAATGAGAACTTTCATTCACTGTGGGTGATAAAGTATATATTGATGTAACTTCTTTGGAAAACTGTTTAGTATTATCTGTGAAATGTGAAGATGTGCATGTGCTAAAATCCTGCACTCTTTAGTATAAACTCAGAGACATTCTTGCTCATGTGCACCAGGAAAAATGTACAAGAATGTTCATAGCATTGTTGTTCATAATAACTCTTCAATGGAAGCAACCTAAATGTCCCTGAACAGTAGAATCAATAAAGAAGTTGCGGTACAGCCATCAGTGGAATACTATATAGAGCAATGAAAATTACGGAACTGCTGCCCACATGCAGCAGCATTAGATGAATCTCCCAAGTATAATGTTGAGTGAAAGAAGCAAATCATGAAAGGGTACATGTACTGTTCCATAAAGTTAAAAATCAGCAGAACTAGAAAACGTTTTTTATTAAGATACAATCCACTTACCATATAATTCATCATTTAAAGTGTACAATTGAGTGGTTTTTAGTATATTCACAATGTTGTGTAACCATTATCACTTTCTAATTCTAGAATATTTTATCACCTCGAAAGGAAACTCTGTATCTATTTGCATTCATTCTTCATTTCCCCTCCCTGAGGCCCCAACACCCACTAATCTAATCTTGGTTCATAGATAGCAAAACAGACAATGATTATATATGAGGAATAAGTGGATTGACAAAATTTATGTGTTGGGACAATTATGATTTTATACCTGATCCATTAAAAAATCGGGAGAATAGGAATTTGTTGAAAAACCTTAACACAATGCTTTAAATAAAGACTAATAGCTACTGACAAGTCTTCAAAACACGGTCAATTTAATTCTCATGAATGAAATTTATATTGAATTTCTAGGAAAATTATACTGTGAGTATGGCTTAAAGGAAGGTTATTTCAATTATGTTGACTAAGCAAAAATATTAGAGATCTTTTTTATAGAAATGAATTTTAGTTACATTTTAAAAAACAAAAAAGCGGTGCCTACTACATGTTTTTTTATTTGTTTGTTTGTAACTGTACTGTGGTCTTTGATTATAAACAGGGCCAAAGAAGTGTTTTTTTGTTTACTTGTTTATAGCCTGAAAACTGTTATTCTGTTTTGCTCACTAGGCTTCAGAAGAAGTGTCAAAATCACTGCAAGCAATAAAAGAAATTCTTTGTGGTACAAATGACAAGGAACCCCCAACAGAAGCAGTGGCTCAGCTAGCACAAGAACTCTACAGTAGTGGGCTGCTGGTGACACTGATAGCTGACCTACAGCTGATAGACTTTGAGGTAAACTATTTGTGAAAGAATGACAATTCTGCTTTTTGATTTTAATATATATGATTATCAGTATTCGTCTTATTTATTATTGCTACACATATATTTTAAAAACCAGACATTTTCTAAAACTTCTAAAGCCACTTTAATCTTTTTTTAAAAAAACAAAGAGATATAGTTATGTTTTTTGCAGCTAGATAGCAAGGTTAATAGCTAACAATTAATAGCTAAGAATAATAATAATAGATACCATTTGTTGAGCGCCAACTATATGCCAGGTATAGTTCCAAGCACTCAACTCATTTAATTTTTAAAACTATCTGTGGTTAATACTGCATTACTAGCCCTGTTTTATAGGTAAAGCACCTAAGGTTCAAAGATATTATGTAATTTGCCCAAAGTCACTCAGTTACTAAGAGCTTAAGGTGGGATTCAAACTCAGGCAGTATATACCAAGGCAGTTCTTTTAATTAAAATATTATATCAATGATATAGGAAGTTTTTAAATGATAGTAATATAGGATATTTATCTCATTTTGAAGGTAATTTATACCTAATTTACCTAAATAATAAATTGATTAAATAAAACAAAAACTTAGAAATATAAGTGGTAAATATGTGTAGGCATTTTATTAAGTATACTATATCTAACTTAGAATAGTGATTTTTTTCAGTGAAAAATGTGTACACATGTTTGGTCATTGACTGTTTAGGTGATGGAAGTCCTGGTTTTGCTTTGTTTGTTTCTATCATAATACTTTGGTAGACGGGGTAAGTGCTAGGATCTCCATTAAGTCTCTGAGATGGAGATGCAGATTTCTGAAGTGAATTGCTTTTAGTTTTGTTCTCAGCAAATGGAAGGAAAACTAATTACAGTGATTACAATGATTAGGCCAAGATAAGGTCTGGGGATCTGTCAAATACTAGCCCACAGCTCTCTGGACAGGTGAGATGGGGGAAGATTTTGGCTGAATGGAGTGGAGGAGAAGGAAAGCAGATCAGGACTGCTCAGGAGGTGCTCAGTCATGCCTGTTGGCTGACACAAGACTGAATGAGAACCCAGCGGACCCACACTTACACTCATCCTTCCTTTCAGATACATCTCTCTTTTTTTTTTGCCCTCCCTTATTCTATTTCTCTGTGTTTGACATTTTCTTGCACGTAGTTTCTTTTCTCTTTTTCCTCTTGCTTTACTTGCTTTCTTGCTCTCTCCATCTTACATCCTATCTCCTTTTTTTGTGTGTGTGTGTGTCCGGCAATGGATCGCAACCCTCAGTGTCGCGCCAGTACCGGACCGGGACTGGCAACGGGATCGCAACCCTCGGTGTCGTGCCCGCACCTCGCTCAGCCAGTGAGCGGGAACCGGTCTGTATGTGGGATCCGAACCCTCAGTGGGAGCACCGCCGCACTCCCAAGCAGCGCACTGTAGCAGTGCGCCACCGGGCTGGCCCCTATCTCCTTTTTAAACTGGCTATATGTGAAATTAAAGTGTAGTCTTATTGTGTTTATATGCTTTTATGTTTCTTTTATTTAGTTAAAATTAAATATTATGAACATTTGTAGGAGCTGTGGCATAGTGGAAAAACACCCAACTTGGAATTAGAGTGGTTTAGAGCCCCAGCTCTGCTATTTGATAGTAAAGTAACTTAACCTCTTTGAGTCTAAGTTTTCTCATCTATAAAATAGGAATAATATGAACTTACAGCATTGTTTTAAATATTAAACTAGATAAAAACATATACATATATGTTATGTTATATGAGAACACTAAATACAAATGCAAACTATATAGAAATGTCAGGTAGTAGTATTTTTATTTCCTCCCAAACTAAAGAACAAAGTTAAATGTAAGCTGGTTTGTTTTTATTACAACCCTTGATTTTTTAATCAATTATTTTTTTAGATTTAGATTTAATTGTTCAGTGGCAATAAATAGGAAAAAGATTCCCTACTCTTGGATTACAGTATTATGTTTTTTATATGTTTACTGTTGTTTTGCACATTTCCCTGCAAACAAACATATTAAGCTATTGTCATCATTAAATCATATGTTCACTTGAGTTTATGAAATTAGCCCAATTTGCAGTTGGGTGCTAGAGGCAGTATGACTAAAAATGGTTATGTTTTCAGGGATGAGCTGTCATCAGGTGCAGTGACTTAGAGAAGCCTTGAGCAGCCACAGAACAGCATAGGTTCAAAGTGCTCTCCAAGATTGCAAAGATAGGAAGGAGTACACCAATGAAAATCTTTGGGTACCTGACAACTTTGTTTAGCATTGGCTCAAATAACCAAAATGGAATGGTAAGAAACAGTTAAGCAGGTTTCCCTTCTTTTGCATAGTGTACTAAAAATAAATTGAAAATTTAGAGAGGAAGATTATTTAAAAATTATTTTGGAACTAAATATTCAATTGCCTAAAAATTGATTTGATATATTATCAAGTAGAATAAACTTTTACTCTCTGGAATCCTTGGGAAAAGAAGAAGTATCTTTCTGAATCTTTGAATTCTTCATATAGCTGAAGATAAGTCTTCAAATGCAGAAAGTTAAGTTCATTACTTCTGTGTATTACTTTACTTTTTTAAGTAAATGTATTATATACTTGCCTCCCCTCTAGAATAATATGCTAAATATAATAAGTTTTTATTGATGAATCAAGGCTATCATTATGATGATCTGTTATTGCAGTAATAAAACAGCAGACAGTTATTAACTTTATTCAATTGATGTAACACAATGCCTAGAACATAATTATAAATGAATGTGACACTCAGTATATGCAGCTGTTCTTCTCCTCTAATCCATAGAAAATAAATACTTCTTGGTTGAATGAATGAACGAATGAAAAGCAGTTAAAATTTAGGGCAGTTCGATTTTAAGCATTCCACCAACTACATACAGTAGTTTCAGAAAGAAGGCAGCATTATTAGCAGCATCATTAGCCTGCTTGCCGAAATGTGCTGTGTATCTCTATGGACTGCAGGCATGATTAGCCCTTCTTAAGCCTAAAGTATCTATATAAGCTGGTGACAGTTTGATAAAATTTTTCCTGAGTTCAGAACCTGTTCTAACCAAACAGAATCCCCATCCCCTGGTCTCTTGACATGCCTAGTGGTGTGTCGGATGGTTGGTTGATGGGTTGGTTGGTTGAATGTAGGGAAGAGAATGAAAGATCAAAACAGATAAAGGAATTGAACCAAAAGAAGGTGTCCTGACACACATCAGTAAGCTATTTATCTTGAGGAATTAGTAAATTATTAAGAAGATAATTCAAACTAGTTTGAGTGATAATCACATCATTTCTGCAAGTGAATAGCCTCTGTTGTGCTTCTTTGAAGAGCACACCAGTTATTTGACTATAAAATTTCTGTTATGTTTTTATAACAGGAAGGAAAAATTATTAATTTAGGGATGGGCTGCAGATTTAGATGGAGTATGTATCACAGAGAAAAAAAGTGAACTTTGGTTTAGAGGATACATTGATGGGCTTTTTTTTTAGTTGTGAAAGGTTGACATCTCTAGGTACTGTCTGGAAAGAAAATATTGGAAGAAAAGAGCTTAGATACCTTTGCAAAGTAAAGTAACAAAAATTTGAGAAATGCCTTGTTTAGCTGAAGTTGATAGGAGTAGGAAACAGAAGAGAGAGATCTAGAAGAGAAAGATTTGGAGCAAGAGAAAGAGAACACTCGATAACCATGACACAAGGAAGGGAGCTTAAGGAGAAATATGATCAGGAAAATTGAGGAACCTCTAATAGCAATATGTAGAATTCAATCTGAAGTTGTTTCTGGGCCATGGTATAATTACCTTTTGTTTCCCTTAAACCTTTGATAAAAGAACTACATACTAATATGTGTTGACTGAAGGAGAAGGAGCAGTTTTCTACACTTGGGGTAAACAAGGTGTTGAGAAAATAACCAGTCTATGGAGGCAAGACAGTGAATAGGAGTTGAAAGGATCTGGGAGCAGGGATTTGGAACCCCAAGCTGATTGTAGTGATGATGACCAAAGGCAGAGACTTAGATTGGGTAGCAGGGAACTACCTTGGGAATCTGTGTGACAAACCTATTTCTCCTTCAGGAATCCAGAGGAAAGTGGCCTATTGGGATGAGGGCAACACTGGAGGATCCTGCTACTATGTAAATAATGGCTAGTTAGGAGGCAGACCATTGGGTTACAAAAAAACTCATTACTTAGCCATACATTTTTATCTAATCCTTTAAGCCTTAAAATTCCTGATAGAAAAGAACCATTTCAGCGGTTTAAAAAAAAATTACTTGTGGCTGAGATTGCAAGCCTTCTGATTTTATGGGCTCAGGATCAAACTCAAAGTTGTGTTTTGAGGTCTGGCTACTATTCAAGACACAGCTTTAGAGTCTTTGATGTTTTGTAACATGATGTGATAAGAGATCAAAGGATGAAAAATTTATTGCATATTAAGAGTTGATACATTCATTTTAAAGGCAGGTGTGCCTTGCAAAACTAGGGTGGATGCAAAGTCAGCTGTTGCAACTGAATAAGAAAGCAGCTCAAAGAAGCAGAAAACTTTCTAATGTAATAATTTAATCTCTAATGATTATTTCTTGCTATGTTAAAAAAAAATCAGCAAAACAAACATTCCAGGATCAGCTTCTCAATAAGCCATTTTATAGTTCTAAGTTTTTGAAACATTTCATCCTCCAAAAATCTTCTTCTCTTCCCTGGCCCTGATTAAAGTGGTTCTTCACCTTTGGCTTTATTACGATAAAAATGAAACAAATCATAAAGCCTTAAGATATAAGCTTTGACTGTACTTCATGCATTTAGCAATTTGAAATGCTTACTGTGTGTGTAGGCCACTGATTCTATTTGGTTCTATTTGATCTTTCTATTATTTGATTGTTTATGTATTTCGAGCCCATCATTGAAGAATTGACAATCTCAAGTGGGGAAATACTGTATCATAGTAAATGGAATTTTATGTTATCATTACCCTATTGCCCTCTTAAAATTATTGCATATTAGCTTTAGAA